TGTACAGATGTGGGGAGGACTGTGTCCAGTGGCCGCGTCCCACGCTCAGGAAGGGGTAGCAAGCAGCTTCCCATGTCCTGGGGAGCCAGGCTGCCGGTGGTTAGACCACGCTGGGCACGGATGGGGGACTTGCCTACATTTGTGGGCGCTGACAGGGCACCCCCCCGTTCCCTCACTCCACTCAGGCGGGGGGTCCTCAATGCTTGGGGGGCTCCATGTGAGTGCTGTCGAGGCCCCCCTGAGGTGACTCCTGTTGCTCCCTCTGCCTCAAGCTCTCTCTCTCCGCAGGCCGCCCGTGTTCCAGCAGCCGGTCATCTTCCTGGGGGCCGATGTCACGCACCCCCCCGCGGGGGACGGGAAGAAGCCTTCCATCGCTGCCGTGAGTGCCGCGCTGTCCGCTGGCTCGGGGGGCGGGGGGGACACGGTCCCATTGCAGCCAGACGGCCAGAGCTCTTCCTGAGAGCAGGAGGCTGCTAGGTGGCAGCTGGGGAAGTCCGGGTCCCGTGGGAAAGGCATTGGGAGGTGCTGCCGGCGGGTCAGTACGACTAAGAAGCAGTGAGAGCGACTGCGGAGCAGGGAGAGCGGCGTGTTAGCACCAACAGCCCCCCAACCAGCCGTGTCCGTCCCACCAAGGGCGGCGCTGCTCCTGGCGGCCTCGCCGCACTCGGGCAGACCGAGGCTTGACGGCCCTGTTTTTAAGCGTGTGCGCGGGCTGGAACCGAAGTCCTCTCCCTCCTCCTAACTCTGAGGTTGCCCAGGAGGCGGTGTGGCGGCCTCAGTTCACAGTGACCCTGCTGACACCCGGCCGCTGCCCCTTCCTCAGGCTGAGCCCAGCCTCCCTCGGGGGTAGGAGCGTCGGCCCGAGGTTGCAGGTCCCGTCGACCCCGGTGGGGCTGCCAGAGGGCCGTGTGGCCGTGTGTGCTCGTCGTTTGTCCGGAGCCACCTGTTGGGTTTCCCTCTGCCCAGGGCAGCTCGTGGCTCCAGCCCCGGCTCCGTGCCAGGCACGGGGCCAATGCCAGCTTCCCTCCACACGGGGAGCCCAGGAAGGCCGGGCGCCGCCCGAGAGAAGCGGCAGCACTGCTCCTGACGCGCCGCCTCCTGCCCGCAGGTCGTGGGCAGCATGGACGCCCACCCCAACCGCTACTGCGCCACCGTGCGGGTGCAGCAGCACCGCCAGGAGATCATCCAGGACCTGGCGGCCATGGTGCGCGAGCTGCTCATCCAGTTCTACAAGTCCACGCGCTTCAAGCCCACGCGCATCATCTTCTACCGCGACGGCGTGTCCGAGGGGCAGTTCCAGCAGGTGGGCCCTCCGCGCTCTGTGCTCAGTGTGTCTGGGGTTTGCCTGTCTGTCCGGCAGAGCGGCTTCTCGGGGTCTCTGCAGAGAAGGGGGTGCGATCTACAGCCTGTCCTACCGCCCCCTGTGCCTGTGCTTGTCAGGTCACGGGGACGGTGGACACGGGCGGCGACGCTGAGGCAGGACAGACTGAGGCAGGACAGACGGGGCGGGAGGAGCGACGGGTGGGCTGGGGCTGGAGAGCTGTGCGGGCGGAGGCAGGGTGTGGGGGAGGCTTTGTGGGGTGGGCACCCCATCGTGCTGCAGTGCGCAGGGCAGGCAGTGAGTGCCGTGACGGAGAAGCACGCCGGGCGGGGCGGATGGCTGGGAGCCCTTAGAACGCAGTCAGCAGGCCTGGCCGCTGTTTGGATGTGGAGGGAGGGGCAGCATCTTGGGGGACGTGGAGGGAGGGCGGTCTGGAAGGTGGGGTGCGTCACAGGCGCAGGGAGCACCGCAGGAGGGTGGGGAATGGGAACAGCGGCCGCGGTGCCTCCAGGTCGGGGCCTTGGGCCCAGGAGTCGGTCCCGCCCGGGTTTCGGAGGTTGTCCCTGCGTGTGCCCCTTGGCCGGTAACTGCCCCTCTGCACCTGCCACGTCCCCAACACAGGCCTCACCGGGCGATGCTCTCGGGGCAGAGGCAGG